AATGACTAACTGGATTACTTGTTTTATATGTTAAGTCCAAGAAGCTGCACAAGCTGAATGACTAACTGGATTCTTGATGGATAGTTAGGATCGGACTTTAAATATATTTTTATGGTACCGCGATATGAGCTTGAGTTTCAGAATCGTCGGTTAGGGAGCGTATATACAGTAGGATATGTAGCTGGATATGGGAGGTTGAGGTGTACCCTGTTAGGTATAGGTACTTATGCCCACCTATAGATGCGTTTTCGCATGTTGCCTTCTATTCAGGTTGAGACCCTCTCCATAGTCCAGTGAGAGTCCTGTAGTGTGATTATATATATGTATGGACTATTAGCTATTGTTGAGTTGGTTAGAATGTATATGCGTATTGAGTCTCTGCTTGGATAGTAGTAGGATAGAACTTGTTTGTGGGCCTGCCCATATCTATTTTTCAGGTGTTCAACCGTTCCAGTCGTAGGCTTGATCGTGCTGAGCAGAGACTATCACTCACTCTTCCCGCGACGTAGGACTTCTCTCTATGGTTTACTATGGATGTTCTTTTAGTAGTTTTCTTTTCAGTTTGGATTTTTAATAGGGGTCCACTAGAGATGGATTCCCGAGTTATATTCATGGAGGTTTCAGAAGTTGGATTTATTTAATTTTTATCAGTTGAGGATTTTATATTAGTATTTGTTTCAGCTTTATTATTTTACCTTCTAAACTATTTTGTAATTTGTGTTCGTTTTAAAATATTACTTGTTTGATATTCCCTCGGGTTTGGGCATGGGCCTGATCAACCCGTGTCTCGGATCCGAGGGGTATCACATCATCTGTAAGTTTAATCCTTATCGTAATCTGTAATCCTATCTTAATGTGTAATCCTTATCGTAATCTGTAAAGCCTATCTCAATCTGTAATCCTTATCGTAATCTGTAAAGCCTATTTCCATCTTTTGAGATAGTGTGTTAATTTGACAACTTTCCCTTATCCATAGGTATTTAAATTATACATCTATCACCTGCCATCAATTTCTCAACAAATTCCCGTTGCCTAAAGTTGATTCCCATGAATTCTTAATTCTAAAACAAATTAAAAATTCACGGAAAGTTTTCAAATAAGAATAATAAGAGATGATAATATGCCAACCCCACCCACTTATCATTGTCCTATTAAAATGCTTGAACAGTGGGCAAAGCTAACTTTTCACCAGTATGTGACTTGAAAAAAATAAAATTATCTATGTATTTGCATTACAATCTTTCTTGTCTTATGATATATATATATATTTTTTTCAAAATAATAATAATAATAGTATCAAGAATTTGGTAGTCCAAAAAAAAAAAAATCTTGATATACATCAAAAACACTAGTACAACAATGTACAACAATATGTAATGGGCTTAACTTTTATCAAAGTTATTTTGTCAATAACAAGAAACTTACATACACAACAAATAATACATTAATTGATGTCATTCAATTAATGGGTAAAATGGTAAGAAACTCACACACACGACTCACAAACTCACTTTGCTCATGTGGAGATCCGAACTATCACCATCCACTTTGAGAGATAGAGAAAATACCACTAACTACTGAGCCACAAAGCTCTTGGTGTTTGTCACATATATTTCACACAGCAAGTTATTGTATATTCGGTTAGTTTAAGGATATTTTATAATTCAAGGGTTACTTGCAAATCGGTAATAATTCAGATAGTTATATAACTTATATGCAATTTACTTTTATTAGCAATATATATATATATATATAATATTTTTTCATTAGTAAGAAACACACCCAATTCACACACCCACTTATATATATATTTCTTGAAGAAATAATTCAATTAATCCAATCTAATAATTTTTTCTTTTTAAATTTCTAAAAGAATATATATATATATTTTTTCTTACCATCTTGAAAGAGAGAATTTCAAATCACAACATAGATTAGAAGACATGTTCGGCAAATTCCAACAATCATAGTGGCAAAAAGTAAGAAAATTCTCATGATTCAAGATAATCGTATAATAAATTAATCTCAATAGTTTGAGGAAAGAAAAAAACAAGAAAAAGATAATATATAGTGTTAATATGTTATTCATATAAACAATTAGGCACCAAGGATTAGATTGTGAGATTTTGAATGTTCAAGGAGCAAAGTAGATATGTCAATAGTGTATGTGAATTTTCTTATCAATGAAAAAAAGTAAGTATGTAAGTAGCTTTTGTGAGTTTTCTTATCAATGAAAAAATATAAGCAATTAGGCTGACATTAATTTTGATGCCAGTAATTCGATTCAGCCCGCGAAGATCATTGGGCTTTGGTAGAGCTGATAAGTTGGGTTTCAACCATGGCCCATTCCTCTAACAACAAAGCCTTATAAACCCCCCATTTTCCTCCATGGCCCATTTTCCATAACCACTATTTTTTCTCTCACATTCTATCTTTATGTTACAAAGACAAGGAGATTGAGGTGCTTTCTAATGGAAGTATGAAAATGGGTGAGGTCTACAGAGCCACCTCTGTCGTGTGGAAGCTATCCCACACCAGATCGGACAGACTCTCAAATCATCGCCGTTGGCTGGCACTACCAATTGGTATTTTATTTTTATTTTTTTCAATTAGCAGACTCAGTTCCTATATATATATATATATATATATATGAATCGATACATACATTACTTACTTAATTGAATGATTTATGTTGTTTTTTGGTTGGCGACATTGATCAATTGTTGGCTTAGACTCTACATGGAAACACCAGTTACAGAGTTTTGTCCCTATTATATTGAAATTGATTTTACTGGTTCGTTACTATAGATTTCGTTGTGATTGCTGCCTTGAAAATAGTCTAACATTTTAATTTTGTGTTAATTCTGGAGTTACTAAATAAATTGATCCGTAGCAGACCTTTCTTTCATATGTTTCTTTTCTTTTCTTGATCTGCCATGGTATATATATATATATCCATATATATATATATATAGGGTAAAGTGCAAAAAAACCCCCTCTACAATCGATATAGTGTATATCAGTCCCTGTGTGGTAAAAAAAACCCCTATATTATCAATTTGGTGCAAATAGGTCCTGTGTGGTGTAAAATGACGATAATACCCTCACTTCAGTTGAATAAATTAATAATTATAAATACCGGCCATGTAAAATGACCCTTTTGTCCAAATTTGTGTAAAATTATGTTTGTTTGGCAGGAGGATAAAATAAAACCTCAAATTGTATAAAATAGGGATAACCTAATCCTGAATATAATTAAAACTAAAACCAAACATTCCCCAACCTCCATTACCACCACCCATCACTGCCTAACCCAACCTCCATTACCCCCACCCATCATTGTTCGCCACCACCAAACAGAAGCAAAATCCAATTAAAATTAAGACCAGGTCCAAGGAGCTCCAACAACAGCTCGCTTCCACTGGAGAGGTACCTAGCAGCGAAGAACATCAGGTAACCGTAGACGATTATGAGGAAGAGATTGCCGAGTACGGTGGTGGTGCAGGGCAGGAAGCCGTACGTCTGATCGCAAGACTCATCCACAAAGAACCGATTGAGCCGGAGAAATTATGGACCCCGCAAACCATCTTGGACACCGTCGGAGATGAGATCTGAGGATGGACGGCCGGTGATGAATCGGCCATAGGAGAGGTCGCAGAGGATGAGAAAGAGGAGAATAGTTGAGAGGAAGGTGGGAGATAGTCTGTGAGCCATGTTTGGAGCTTTGTTGATGTGTGTCAGAGATGGATATGCATATCTGTATGTGTATATACTATATATATATATTTTTAGATTTAATCTTCTCTAGCCATCATCAACGTCACCACCACCGTACCTTCGCTGGAATCGTGACATCCTTACAGTCATCGTCATATCGTTTTTGCCGGAGTAGTTGCTGATTCAGTCCTCTTTGCTCGCTGATTCAGTCACGCCACTAATAGATGCTCATCGTCGCTGCCCTCTTGTTGCATCGTTGTCGTAATATTCATTCTCTAGTCGCCGTTGTGAAGCTCTCGCTGGTTGCCGTTGCATAATTGAAAAAACAAGTTATTTTTTCCCAAATCAACCCATCATCACCTCCAATTGAAAATCAAAGCTGCTTTGTTGCTTTTTCCCAGCCCACACCAACCCATCATCACCTCTAATTACCCAATATATCACCTCCAATTACCCATCATCACCTCCACACCAACCCATCATCATCAACGACAAAAGCAAAATCAAGAGATATAATGTTTTAATTAAGGTTGATTTTGTGATTAGTTTGGTTTGATTTGCCAAATCAGCGTCAAGGTATTTGGGTTTTGAACGTGGTCACCGGAGAAGATGTATATGTATGTATGTATGTATATCTATATATATATATATATATATATATATTGTATAATATAACAATAGAGAGAGAGGGAGAGAGACAAATTTGGTTTTGAGGGGTTATATGCACAAATAGGTGAGGGGCAAAATGGGAAACAAAAGGGTAAAATGGGGTAAAGGTGGTCAGAGGGACTAGTTCTGCACCATTTTTGAATTTTGTGGACTTGCATGCACATTTTCAAAAAGTAGGGACTAGTTTTGCACAAAGTCTATATATCGGGGGGGGTATATATATATAAATTGGGCCTATTGGCACTTTGGAAGTATTGCTATTGTCAGTGAAGCTAACTATAATAAAATTATATATATAGAAAGATGGGGATCGCTGGCTCATAGAATAGTCCCACACAGTGATGGAGTCACCATTTACTTAGAAGACTAAATTGAAACCTGCTGTCAACTTGTCAACAAGTTTAGATAGGTTCATCTTCTAGACACAAAGTTGACTTCAAAATTAAAATCATTTGTATATATATACATTACAATAATTTTTTTTTTCTCTTGAACTAGCAATTTCTTGATTGGCATCAACTCCATCAGTCAGCAGTACCTAATAGGTGCATCCTTTATCTTCCTTCCATTATCGTCATTGTCAATTTATTTCCGGTATGGCATCCCTCACTTGTTCATGTCTCTTCATCAATGGAACTTCTTTCTACAAAGAAACCAGGTTCTTTGGGTTGAGGCAATGTCAGCTCCTCGTTACTCAACATAAAAACAACCGATGACATGATTGGTCTGTCTTTTGACAGTTTCTGAACACATAGTAAAGCTACTTGAACACATCTTAGCACTTGAGATTCAATGTAAGAATTTTCCAATCATGGATCCATTAGTTCCAGTGCTTTGTGTTCATTCCACAGCAACCAAGCCTATAACAATCACATCGTCAAACTTAGTGATTCGCATAGAAAGCTAGAGAGAAAAATAGAATAAAATAAGAATACATTTCACCATAGATAGTTACATGTCCCAAAAGCGAATGATAGTGATCAGGATGGTGAAATTTCCTGTTCCTCTTGCCACTCACCATTTCCAATAAAAGCACACCTAAGCTAAGACATCAGATTTTACTGAAAATTTCCCATCAATGGCATACTCCGGTGACATGTAACCATTGCATAAAAATATCAAATTTAAGCATTTGAAAATTAATGAACAATTACTTTCTGAGATTTGTTTGCAGAACTTACTATGTTCTGATTATTCGCTTTCGTTTTGGCAACAATTTGATCCCTCCCAAAACATCTTGATATCCCAAAGTCTGAAATTTTGGGACTTAGTTCATCATCTAGTAAAATGTTGCTGGCTTTGAGATCCCTATGAATGATTCTTAATCTTGAATCCTGGTGAAGGTAGAGAAGTCCCCTTGATATGCCCATAGCAATTGCAAATCGTTTTTCCCATGGAAGTTCTAGTCCTTTATTCTGATCTGCCCAACATTTTCATCCATATAAGTTCTAAATCAGTTATCACTTTTACAATAGAGCAGAGGACTCTGCTGCATGAATGCATAAACTGAACTATGAAATTGATCTAATAAGATAGATAGTCAAGAGAACTAGACCAAAAATGAAATAGTCCAAGCTTTTGTTCGGCATGTACTCATATATTAACATCCTCTCTTCTCCTTCAATGCAACTGCCTAACAGCCTGACAAGATTCCGGTGTTGAAGTTTGGAAATCAAAATAACTTCGTTTTTGAATTCTTGCACACCTTGTCCAGAATTCTTCAAAAGCCTCTTGACTGCTATTTCGTGTCCCGTTGTTAGCTTACCCTACAAATTTTTGAAAAAAAAATGTTAAAATCATGGTGATTCATTTTCTTGATTACATATCGAACCAAAGATTACTAATTTAACCTTGTAAACAGGACCGAAACCACCCTCTCCGATCATATTTGTGGAACAGAAGTTCTTAGTGGCATTCACAATAGTGTCCAGATCAAAAAATGGTAACTCAATGTCTTCACTTAGTTTCCGTACCTGCAAAATAAAAAATGTAATAGATGCATATCGATAATTGTTATCCTTTTTACCAAATAAATAAATACTAGATAACTGTTATTATTCAAATAACCGTCTCGTACACTTAGAGGGAATGAAAACTTACAAAATGTTCAAAATGTCTATCTAAATGCATAAATTATCTAATAAACATGTGACAACTCCCTTAAAATGTATCAATAATCATACCAGAGAGAGGTGGTGGTATACCTCTTTTCTTTCTCCTCCTCTTAATTATACACCAAGTTAACAAGCTGAGGACAAGCAATCCAGAAGTTGTTGATACCACTACGATCAACATCAGTGTCTTCTTCTTCTGATTATGGTCTAAATTTATGAGAAAGTTAGTTCATCATTAGTCCTAAACCTTCATTTGTTGGGCATTCCTTCGGAGCAGCATAAATAAAGGAAATTCTAGACATGAATCCTAAACATTTCATTTGAAGATATTCCACAGTACAAAAAAAAGTGATTAGCATGATTGAAACTGGCCTAAACTAGGTGGATTGAATCCTAAGTACTCATATTTGAGCAAACAAACTCCTTTGAGTTTTGGTAAAATAATTTACGGAGCTGACATCTAAGAGAGTAATTGGAGAATGAGGATATCATAAAAGAGTATAGCACAAGTATGCTTACTGAGTTCAGAAGCTGGCATTCATATGTAGATATCTTGTTCGCCATCGTTGTTATTAAACTCTGAATATCAACTAAATCGCCAAACCAAATCAAACAGCCACTGCCTCCTCCTCTGATATCTGAATTAGCATAAGCTATACAAGAACAATTATTCAAGCACTCTGCCTCACATTCCTCAAGGTTCAGACTCTCCTTCAGTCAAAAGTCTAACAGGTCTGGCCATTTCACATTTTTGAGTTTCACAAATCCCTCTCTGTTCTGGCAATCCAGTGATGTCCTCCTCACGCATCCACTGGACCAATTAAGCAGGTCCCATTCTTCCTGCGATTTTGGAATGAACCCATCCAAGCACTCACATACTGGCCTACTGTTAATTCTGCAAATACCATTGCCTCCACACTGTCCATAATCATCACAGGTATCATTCGGTACTGTATTTATAACGGCCCATTCAGAGCTCCCTTCATTCAGGATGAGGTGTTGTAGCATACCCAATTGATTCAGTGTTAATCTTGTAATATACAAGTTATTAGTCGCCTCAAGGCCTCATACATATAATACACCTCATCTTCACTGGCTATAAAACTCGGTTTACTGACCAGGTTTAACCTCACACCAGCACCGCTAAATCGAACTCCATTCCATGGCCCAGTGCGGTATATCTTCTCTGATGATCCCTTTTTAAGAAAAGGCTGAGGCACCCCACTAATATCAACTCTGTAAGTGAAGTCTCCAGGAGATGGGTCAGTGGCATCTCTCCATGATGTCAAATATCTATTTAGGCCAGTCTTTAATTTCCATCCCAAGTTCATGCTAGGTAGAAGTGTGTCTGATGGGAAATCAAAGCTTTGCCATATGTAGGTACTTTCTGTATCAGCATCAGTATTCTTTTTTAGGACTAGGTTTCCAGAATTCAGTAGCTGTGCAACTGATGAGTTTTGCACAGTTGTTGAAGAATTTGAGGACCAGATGACACCCTTTGTGGCATTGAAGAGCACGAGATTTCCATCGCCGTTGATAGTTAAATTTCCATATGAATCTGCAATTGGGGTTTCCCTGTTTGCTACCCACACCACAGTTTGTGGAGAAATCTTGTAGTACCATATTCCAAGTACAGATTCTTGGAACCACTGGGAGAAAAGAAGCCTAGTTCGAAGCTTTGGCCCGATGATACTAAACTCTCACCATTGGTGATTGATTGATACGGAGTTAAAGTATCAGCTGCAGTGGTGAATTTTGAGGATGAGATTAGCGACTAAAAGATGATGAAAGGAAAGGTATCCATTGGCAATATTTCTTAAAAAAAGGTGACCATGTTTAGGCCATCTATAAGCTATAATTAGGCCAAATTCCACATTGGTGTGCCATTGTAAGTCGAACTTACGTGGGCCTAACTACGATTGATCATCTCAGTTTCTTGATTCATTCCTTTCATTGGATGGGAGGCTTTAAAAAACCCTTGAATTTGGGAGTGCCCCATTTCGTAGGGCAGAGACTTAAAATTTTAAATGTACTGCTTCGGTGATTCGTCACGAATAAATGAGACGTTTTAGTATGAATGTGATCTTTGAGTTTTGCCTACATGTCATATAACCCCTGAACTATGTACACCACTTTACCCCGTAACTATATTATTGACACTTGATACCCCTAACCATCCCTTTTTCTGCAAATTCATATGATCCTTAACTTGCCGTTGAAGACTAACATTAAATTAACACGTGATCGGTAAAAAAGTAAAATGACTGAACCGCCTTCTCCACCTCAACCTCCTCCTTCATCACCGCTGCTACTACCTATAACTCCACCGTACAGAAGTAAGGGAGTTGGCAAAGTGAAACAGGAGAACAGTGATCGGAATTGGGGTTTTAACATGGGGAATCTGTTAGTTAAACAAGAATTAGCAAGAAATGGTTGTTCGTTTCTCCAGCGTTTTTAGTGGAAATATAGATTTTCTCTCATAGATCCGTAGGTTAAAATCCAAATCCTAAGAGCCAAACACTAATTGCATGGACGAACTGTTTGAAAACCAGCAACCTTTAACACAAAGCCCAAAAAAATTAGCAATAAAAATAAAATCACTCAGCACGTTAATTAAGGACCGAAAACATGTATGCTTATGTATATATACAGTGGTATATGATATAGAGAGATGACATCAGTATCAGTGTTAGAGGTTATTGTCCCATGAATTAAGATAAGAAAGTTAATGGGCATATATGAGTAAGTTGGTAGCTACCCAAAAATTCTAAGTTTTTTTTGGAATGTGTAAGAGCAACTCCAATGCTCTCTCATTTGGGCCTCTCTGTTGGGTAAAAAAAGGCCTCTCCAATGGGCTCTCATATTTTGAGATTCTCAAATTTCCTCTCACTTATAGCAGCTGCTAATTTTTTTTTGGCAAGTCTCTCATTTCCCAATACGACGTCGTTTCTCTTATTTATCTGTGGAATCACATCGTCACCCACTCGCATCTCTCTCTCTCTCTCCTTGTCTGTTGCAATATAGAGAGAGAAAAGTTGTCTCCTCCAATCCTACGTCGTCATTCCTTCTCACGTCCTTAGTAACCCTCTCTTGCGAAGCTGGCCTAACTTTGGTTTTTCTTTGTTGGGAACGGATTCTTCTTTCTCTCTAGCCTTGTCTGTTGCAATATGGCTTTTGAACGTCTGATTCTTGTTGATTTTGTAGTTTGCAGGGGGTGTAATGATTTGCCCTAAAAATATATATATATTTAATAAATATATATATGATTTGCCCTAAAAGTTTTTAATCAAATATATATAATTTACATATATATATAATATATATAACTTTTTGAAAAAGGAAAAAAAAATTATATAAAAAAATTAATTCACAAATAGTGGTAAAAAAATTATAAAAAATTTGTTTTTTTTTTTTTTTTTTTGGGTTCCTTTTTTGACTAGATATTTTAGATTTTTTCTTCTTTTTAATTAGATTTAATTTTAGTTTTCTTCTAATATCTACAACTTGACTTGGAATATGCTTAATATTAATATTACTATTGTAAATATACATGAAATGCACCATTGGAGCAAAATTGTTAACATGTACATTTTGATATTGTAACACCTGTCAAAATATAGATTTGACATGCCAAAATAGCTTTTAGTATCGGAGATGCTCTAACCCGTTACAATGATATCAAAGGAGTTTGTGTCATGTCAATCCCACTCTAGGGTGGTGTCTAAGTCCAAGCAAGAGTAGGCATTAAACTTTTGGGTCAGGGGCAGTGACGGAGCCAGGATTTCAAATGAGGGGGGCACACTGCCAAAAAAAAAAAAAATAGTACGGAGTACATATATATATATATATATATATAACAACTATAAAATTTAAAAAGACAAAGAAGAAGAAAATTATTAAAATATAAAAGGAAAAAAAAATGAAAGAATTTTAATAAAAAATAGTTAAAAAGTTTCAATTGAGAAAGAAAAATTTGACTTTTTCTCTTAAGGAAATTTAAGGGATGTGAGAGTAAAAGAGAAAATAAAGAAAAAATAAGAATATAATTTTAGGAATTACAAATTTGAGGGGGGCAATATATAAAATTTTTCATAGAATTTTTTTTAAAAATCACCACATATATTATAGGTTGTTGGCCAACTCAGGGGGGCACGTAGGTCTTCATTGGCTCCGTCCTTGGTAAGGGGAGCCGTAGTATCCAGCCGTTACAATCAGGATCTAAACTTTTAGGCTAGAGTACAAGCACCAGACCCCTTGCAATCAGGATCTTAGCTTTTGGGTCAGCAACTAATGTTGAATACACATGAAAGATGAATTAATGGGCAAAATGGTAATTTATTTTGTTTGTTAACGGGCTATTTCACGGTGTGAGCTTTTGTGTCTTTTTTTTTTACTTTTTATATTAGGAGGGTATTTTGTAATTGAATGTCTTGGAGGACAAGCTCAGCGCCGGGTCTGTTACAATCAACATATAAAGCCTAGTCCCATTGACCATTAGAAGTTGATCTTTTGAAATTCCACATTTGTGTGCTCTGAAGTCCACTCTTGTGGGCCTCACTGTGTTTGATATTCTTGAATCCCTATCCATTGTTTTTATTTTTACTGATGTAACTTGTAAAAACGATATAGGTTGGTGTCAATTTGTATATGTTCCGTGAGGAAGTTTTGTGAAGTTTATGCACATTTTAGTGTCAAAGTTGTGATAATCACACCTCTCTTTCTCCGAGTAATTAATTTTTTGATTCCTTTTTTATTTTTCCCTACAATAATTTTTTTAACCCATCTCAATCGCAAAAGGCTATGTAACAAAAATGTCATATTTATATAAAAATATCACTAAGCTGCTATAACAAGATAACATCTGAAAATCCTGCAGGGTAGTCAGTTGGTCAGACTTTGGATTTGCTCTCCCATGAACACTAGTTCGAGTCTTCGCAGAGTCATTAGAGGCTTACCTGGTCGTTAACTTCAAGGCCTCGTGGGATTAATCGAGGCACGCTTAAGCTAGCCCGGACACTCACGATTATAAAAAATAATAATAATAAATAAATAAATAGCATATGAAAAAATATATATGAAGTGCACATCTTGTATAATTTTCATACTAAGTTTAATTTTGAATAAACAGATAGTTAGCCTAGCATTTTTAAAAATATATATGTATATTTTTTATTGGCAATAAATTTACAAATCCTACACCCTGCAGTGAAGTTTGGCTCGTGCACTAAGGATGGTCATATGTACACAGCTTAGGATTTATTTTCCCATGTTTATATTGATCATGTTGTCTCCAAATCATTAAACATTATTGTTTCATAAAATTTAGGGTAAACTATCCTCACACAGTCAAAATAGGTCCTTATTACAAAAAATTATTCATTACAATCATTGCAACGATGACTTGATAGAATGGACAATTATAAACACTCCACTGCCCATTTGGCAACCACAGTTGTTTTGTGTTTTTGTTTTGACCCAAAGTAAAAGCAATGTTTTTGCTTTTAGGGTGTGTTCAACACTATTTAGAAGGTTGTTTGGTAACATAAATTTGTTACAAAATTTTT